TTTGGGGAGGTTCTAGTTGGGTTTGAGAAGGTTCTGGTTGGGTTTGAGGAGGTTCTCGTTGGGTTTGAGAAGGATCTAGTTGGGTTTGGGTGGATCTAGTTGGGTTTGAGAAGGTTCTTGGTGGGTTTTGGTGGGTTCTCATGGGGTTTGAGAAGTTGGGTTTGAGGAGGTTCTAGTTGGGTTTGAGGAGGTTCTAGTTGGGTTTGAGGAGGTTCTAGTTGGGTTTGAGGAGGTTCTAGTTGGGTTTGAGGAGGTTCTAGTTGGGTTTAAGAAGGATCTAGTTGGGTTTGGGTGGGTTCTCATGGGGTTTTGGTGGGTTCTCATGGGGTTTGAAGGTGTCCTACAGATCAGGGTGAATCCAGGTGTGACCTTTGTGGTCTCCTCACCCTCTTGTGTGTCTTCTCCAGGCGGAGAAGAACCGTCTGGCGGCCATGGCCAACAACCTGCAGAAGGGCAGCGGTGGTCCCATGCGTCTCTACGTGGGGTCTCTCCACTGCAACATCACCAAGGACATGCTGCGCGGCATCTTCGAGCCCTTCGGCAAGGTGGGACCTCCTGGGGGGACCTCCTGGGGGTCGTGGGGACACGGGTGGGTCAGGTTTGAGGAGGTTCTAGTTGGGTTTGAGGAGGTTCTAGTTGGGTTTGAGGAGGTTCTAGTTGGGTTTGAGGAGGTTCTAGTTGGGTTTGAGGAGGTTCTAGTTGGGTTTGAGGAGGTTCTAGTTGGGTTTGAGGAGGTTCTAGTTGGGTTTGAGGAGGTTCTAGTTGGGTTTGAGGAGGTTCTAGTTGGGTTTGAGGAGGTTCTAGTTGGGTTTGAGGAGGTTCTAGTTGGGTTTGAGGAGGTTCTAGTTGGGTTTGAGGAGGTTCTAGTTGGGTTTGAGGAGGTTCTAGTTGGGTTTGAGGAGGTTCTAGTTGGGTTTGAGGAGGTTCTAGTTGGGTTTGAGGAGGTTCTAGTTGGGTTTGAGGAGGTTCTAGTTGGGTTTGGGTGGGTTCTCATGGGGTTTGAGGAGGTTCTTCTGGGGTTTGAGAAGGTTCTTTGGGGGTTTTGGTGGGTTCTCATGGGGTTTGGGGAGGTTCTCGTTGGGTTTGGGGAGGTTCTAGTTGGGTTTGAGAAGGTTCTGGTTGGGTTTGAGGAGGTTCTCGTTGGGTTTGAGAAGGATCTAGTTGGGTTTGGGTGGATCTAGTTGGGTTTGGGTGGGTCGTTGGGTGATGGTTGGGTCATGGTTGGCCATGGTTGGGTCATGGTTGGGTCATGGTTGGCCATAGTTGGGTCATGGTTGGGTCATGGTTGATCATGGTTGGGTCATGAGGAGA